TTTTGAGGAGGGGGATCGTGCGGGGATAAGGATATGAAATTTTGGAAATGCATCTCAACTAAACTGCTTTAACTTCTTTGCGAAAAAATGTAACTAAATGCATGTTAGTTCAAATACTCAAATCAGTCATTTTTCCAAGCTATATGGGAACGAACAGTGTGACACAAAACATTGCAGTGGAGTGGTGTTGTTCCCGTCTAAGCTGTTTTATGTATTTTCTTCAGGGATACCAACGAAGAAAATAGAAACCCATGAAATAACTTTGACCAGAAGACTTTCTGAACTCTTTACGTAGAAATGCATTACCAACCTTGTAGAAAATTAGACAAATGAGGAATAGAAAAGGACAGAGAGATAATATTTAAAAGAGGAAGGAATAGTATCGTATGTACCACAGTATATTAGCTGTAATTACAATTGAACCATTAAGTGAACGAAAAATATCAAAACTAAGAACAAAGACGTACAGAAACTTGTTTGACATGATTATTGTAGTATTAAGTTCCGATGTAGTACAGTATTTTACTTAAAAAGGCTATCTTGTCTTTGTGATGTTAATTTCTAAAATATCGTCATATAATTGTTTGTAAAATGAAAAGTTCATACGTTTTACTGTACAGCAATTTGATTATTAATGTTTCGTCCTATATTCATGTAATGTTTGTGTTATGTCGTGGGATAGCGGAGACTTTAAAAAAAACTTTGGTTTGGAGATTGGTTGGAAGAATTTATATCTAGTTAGGTTAGTTGATTATTTATTTTCGAGACTTAAATTCCAAAAAGTAATGTACCTACTATAAGAACTATTATATCTTGTAACTATTTTAAACATTTTTGTTAAACCGTCATGTTAAGTGAAAATGCCTTCCTGGGCAGCCTGGGGCAGAACCGCACTGGTGTGAAAGAAGATAAACTTCATCTCTGTACTAAACCCTGATTGGAACGACATTATATCTTATGGTGTGAGTTTTTCATACATCCATAGTTTTCCTTGTATTTCACGCGGACATATTTTTCGAACTTCCTGAGCTAGGCTAGCCCCCGGAACAAGCGGCACTATATTGCTACCGTGCCGCCTACGAGAAGTCAAAAGACTTCTTTGTTTGTTTTCCTGGAGGCAACGAGACCCTTCTAACACCATAAGCAGAATATAATGGTCAAATTAAATGGCATTAGACGTGTCGAAAGCGACACAAAAGCGAGTTAGGTAGTCCGGCTGCCGGACGACCGGACCTTACCAGACGGAAGACGACAGATATATGGCCCTTGGCCCCGGGGGGCTTGGCGGCGACTTTGACGGGGAATCCCGACGACAACAAACAATCTTACACGTCCTTGATTCCTGTCTGTCCTAGATTCCATCTCAGGAACTGTCATTGTCTTGCCAAGAAGCCGTTGTTATGGAAAACTTCAAGGTTTACAAATTACGATATGTGACCGCACGGGCAGTAGGGAATTAGACAAGAATGTTAGTGTTGATTACCCATTGGTTGTTGATCACCGGTCACTTAGCTTTTGAAGTAAGGCGTTTTGCGCTGGACACTCTGTAATAACGACCCCTAGAGGACGTCATACTCTTCTGATATCACTTGATAGTGAATTTATCGTCTACAAATTTAGACCGATGTTTATGTATTTAAATATACCGATATTTTTCTGGAAAATATTGTTTGAACTGTCAATTACAGAAACTGACACTATTCTCCTCACCTGTATTACTGGACACGCTGATTATTTGACTCGTGGACCTGTTGATGGACTCGAAGCATAATCACTGGACACATGTATCCATGAATCAATTACTAAAATATCCCCATCCCAGGAATGAGCAAACCTGCAGACTAAGCAGATTACCTGGTTGGATTTACACAAAAAATATCCCTTAAAATTGTCAGCTTTGATTACAATTCAATTTTAATGAGCAGTTAGGTTTGCTGCTACAAGGAAGTTGATGGAGTGTTTTTAATTGAAATGTTGATAGCACAGTAGTATGAAATAAATAAATTAGCCAAATTGTATAAAAATATATCCCTTAGCAAGCAAACTACAGTAGTTTATTTACTCTACATAGAAATAAAAAGTGAATTTTAAACTTAAACGTTTTTTAAATGTTCTCCATTACCATTAGGCGTACAAAAACGCTTCATTCTACTAAACTGTTAGTTTTTTATGCAATACAAAATAGTTTGGAAATCAATTGCGGAATTTTATGTCTTGGGGACCAACAATGGGAAAACCTATCTTTACCCCATGAAACCTCGTTAAAGTATAAAGTTGAAAGTGTAAGTTTAGAGAACGCATCATCGATGCGAACTATGAGCTGTGTCCAAACATTAGGTCCTGGAATGATTAGGTATTTTGTGGGGGAGGATTATGAACCCAGGTTACCGACCTGTGACACGTAGTTCGCATATCTATAACACTTTGGATTTCCACTTATTGTAGTCAACCACGTCTTGTCTTGTTCAAGTACTGTTGTTTTATCTTAATAGGTTTGCGATTTTTACTTTCCTGTGAACGATCACTGGTGTGTTTTCGATCTATCCCTTGTTGTAGCAAATGTTGAAACCACGATCATTATATTGTCATGTTCTTCAGATGAACATTTGAGCTGATGTTTCGACATTGCTTCAGAAGTAGTGTTCTACTATTGTTATACTATTGTATACTGTACTACAAGTAAAGCACACCAACTAACCACTACGGTACTTCTGCATCAAGCCCTAAGCTTCAGCTAAAGTTATCAGTAATATAACACGGGTTTAACCCGAAGACCAAAACAATGTAGGTAAGTGAAGCCTTTATCTGATCTGCTAACGTAGTAAACATTTCATTTTGATGGTGGGCTTCCTGGCTTTCACGGTCAAAGTTCATTCTGTCAAATCCTGGCATTCGATGTACTGCATAACCGCGTCGCCTAAACGTTGGTCTATCCACGTTAATCAACAATCATCTCCGGAATACCAGGATTTGACAGAACTTTTTCATTGACCTTAGGGATCCTAATGTTGGCAATGTTTGATGTATACGTGCTTTAAACGTATGGAGTAAGTTACCAAACAGACATAACTCTACTCTAAGTTAGTGCTGCGTTAGCTGAGTTAGAGTCAAGCTAGCCCACCTGTTAATGCCTGTATAGAGCACTCGTTCATTGTATGACTTATTCAGCAATTCAACCCAAAGTGACATCACTGTTGCAAGTGAGTCAAATGCTATCTGGACTGTATACTAGCAATGGATACTATTCATTGTAGTCTACTTTGCTCACTTAGTCACATCAACCAAATACAACGGTCTTATTCAAGGTCGACTTCAGAATCAATGGCACGGTTTTTAACACTAATTAACCTATCTACAGGAAGGTCTACAAAATGTTGTCGATGTAGACCACTAGTCAGAAGGTAGCAAGAGTAGGCTTAAATAATTTAATTTTGATTCTTTTACTTTCCCTTTCCCAACAAATTACAGTGTATATATGTTACAAGTTAGAAGTTAAATACTTGGTTTACGTTCTTACCATCTACTTCAAAACAAAACTCTAATTTGTTATACATATATACCCTGTTATTATTAGGGTTGAAGAGTTAAACCCGTGAATGAAATGGTATACTTTGGAGAATGGTATACTTTGGAGACACACTGTATGTGTTGGATAATTACAGCAGACGTTAAATATTTTTACACTAAAGTATTCTCGGAAATACAGCTCTAATAGGAAAACTGTAAGCAGTGGATGTACACCACCCAGCGTACTAGAGCCGAGCTCTGCTCAAAGAAAACGTGTTGTTATTGTAACTGAAGGAGTTTACACTGTTCATCAATGTTAAGTTTGACTGATATGTACGTACACTGTGCAGTGTGACACATATATCCACCTGGGTGATTTTTTTCCTTATATTTAGGTGTGTGTGTGTGTGTCGTGTGTGTGGCTTTGGTATAGCTAAATTAATTCACCGTAGTACTTTCTAGACTTCCGATTTATACCAGTCAATATTTTTTACTAAAAATCAAGCAGCATATCAGCAGATACAAAGCCTTTGGTTAAAAATAATCTTTGTTTATTCAAGAATATTATGAAATTTTACATAGCTATGTGAATATCTATGTAGAAATACTAAATATATTTGAGATATTACACATATTACCAAAAACATACATAATGACATATTTGAACTATCAATAAATTACTATTTTCCTGTCTATTATTCTAATCTATCGATATTTTAAACTTATCAAACGTCAAATTAAGGCCACACTACAACGTAACACTAACCCAAAAGGTCCCAATAATTTGTTTTTGGCAAATATAAGCATATTTTCTTATAAGTTTCAAAATAAGTGCATCACAACTCGCAATAATAAGACGATCAACCCTTGTAACAGAGGATTATGTTCAAAAGTTATTAACATAACCCAGAAAAACAGGAGATTATGAAACTAATTAAATGACCTCTTATAAATATCATGATGTGAATCGGGTACAAAGTTAACATGCAGCGGACGAAGGGTGGGGGAACAGTTTACAGTTAATTAGAGCGAGCTGGTTAGAAATGCAAGGAGCTATAAAGGGCTCGCCAACATTGTCGGCCCGTTGTTATAAAGGGAGGTATAAACCCGTGTGATGAGACGTCGTAATGTGAGAGGAGGAAAGTATAAACCCGGCATCAGGGCCCGGGGGAACGTGATATTAATTATTCCGTATATTATCCGATCGGGGCGCGGGACCGAGGCGGACCAATGACACAGTCCGATGAGAGCGGTACTGAACGAGGGGGTGAAAAAGACGTTTAAAACTCCCTCGGCGCCTCCTTAGCTCCGCCCAGAAAAAAATCGATGAGTCGCGGCCGGGCCAATAGGCGACGAGCGGGCCCTGTGCACCAATAGGGCCGCCCTAAGCGCATCACGACCATCATCGGGAGGGGGACCGTCTTTATCAACAAATTATTTTCCGGTGTCAGTAGATTATAGTGACATTTTGTGGACGGACGTCTCCGGGTGAGATGCAGGGATTCCGTGTGTTGACAGAGGCCGGTCCTCAAGCTTCCGACAGAGTCTATCTGCCCAAGAGCCCTCCAGGGGAACAATCTAAGGGTAAGTGAACTTAGGCCTATAATAATGTATGAAATGATAAGATACGATCCCAAATAGGACGAGTACTTGGCTCTCGTCGGCACGACGGACTTTGGCTTGCACAAGTCCCTGAATGGTTTATCTAAATAATATGTAAACACAGTATGATAAATGTTTGAAACAGCAATTTCAAACTTAACTTTAATATAAACATGTCCCTTGTCTTAAGTATAAAAACAACAGGTAGGGCCTATACCTAATTGGAATAATTAATCATACATGTAGTCTGAGAGAGATAGATTTAAGAAGAAATGACTTTCACATTACTGTTTTTTTCTTATCAATTTAGCAGGGGATATTACAGTTTTAACTTTGAAATAAACACCTACTCGGAAATACAAGAGTCTACGTCCGTTTAAATCACAGATAAAATGTTTATGGACCAATTAGGAAAAGGATGTCACCCACTAAAATTTGAGGTAGTTGATGTAGGCTATCCTTAAACACCTTACATTAACAAAACGAAGAATTAAACTAAGAAGTTTAAAATAGGCCCCAATATACTGATTTCCAAGTGTCTCTAATATTAAGTAACCGACAAGGTGAACGTTTGTATATAAAATTCAATTTAGTATCTGAATTCTCTTACTATTATTTAATTTACGTAAAATCCTGACGGTCATAAGACGTATTGCCGATATGAACATCAGTAACATGCGGGCAAGTCCTAACATGTACATGTAATGGATATTATAAACAACTGACAAATAAGCTTACAATGAATCACTGAATTATTGACTAATTTTATTTGATCATAAAATCTTTAAGTAATTACGAATCAATTACTTGATTTCCCTAACAATTTGTTTCTTGATCGCCTGCTAAGCAGGAATCAACGTATGGTTAGTATATCATCATGGACAGGGTTCTGATAGGTAGAATTTAATGACTCACAAGACACTCAAAATGACATAAATGTAATTTATTTTCTATAACAATTAAAGGTATTTTTAATTTCTTATCAAAAACGAATAACCAACATTTGTTGGATAATTTTTATATCGTTAAAAATAAAAATTCCCATGTCAACGTTGAAAAACAAACAAAATTTGTTCATTTATAAAAGATATGAGATAACTAGTTTTCTCTTAAATTAAAAAGACAAATCTATAAAATTTCTATTTTCAACGATGAAACCCAATTTGTTCAGAACAACTCAAAATGAAACAAATCTTCCCCGCCTAGGACGAGTGCGTTTTCTATTTACTCCCTAGACCCATCAGTTAGGCACCCTCAACAAAAACATTGGTCCCACTGACGAATATTGTTTGGGTCCACGGGAACGGCTAGCAATTAGTTGTGGTTGCACACTATATCAATATCGTTCAGTCTGCACTTAGTAGCAGCCGCGCGACAGTCACCACTTTGGATATCACCCATGTCAAATCATCTTGTTGTACCATCTACCATCTACCATCCATCACAATATCGTTGCTTTCATTTGTTTGTGGAACTGTTATAAGGTACTTCACGTCAATAGTTCAACAAATTATTGTTCAAAATCCCAACATGTTTCGCCAAGTCATCTCCTTTCCAAGAATGTGTCATCCAATAATTGATTCGTCAATTACATTAAAATAAATACATACATAGGAGATAAAACGTATGAAAAAACAACATATACATGGTGGTTTTTTTAACCGCAACCCTAATTAAAAGTACTTTGAGACACATTTTAGTAACAAAACAACTTGATATTTTGGTATCCCTGTTTTCAGCGTATATGCGTTGCTCAATAGTTATCTATGAGGTTATTGGGAGTTTATTGAAAATAAGACACAACACGGGAATGCGTTGAAAGTTCACAATTGGTTTTGTAACGGAAGGAGGAAGTGTTTGGCAATGTTGTGTGAGTATATGCAGGTACTGTTGTTGAACAATAACTGGTTTGTTATGCAAAAAGGTTTGAAATTAGGTTTCCTTAATTTGTACGTGTCAATAATAGTACAAATTTAAGGAAACCGAATCCGTAGTAAACAAAAAAATACCCCCGTTACAGCAAACCTGCAGACTAAGTGTATTTCCATTTGCCTGATTTGACTTTTACTTAAATCTAGAGATTTATTTTGCCTTAATTTCGGATTAGGTTTCCTTACATTTGTATATGTCAATAGTTTGTTTATTAGGTAATTGTATAAACGCCTGGACAATTAGTTTAAAACCTTTCTTGGCATAAAACCAATGATTTACTTTAGACGTATTATTCTTAATCTTCGAGATTGGGGAAACGCCGTGTTGTGTATTATTTACAATAAATTCCCAATAAAACCAAACCTCACAGATAACAATGCAACAATGCATATCAGCTGATTGACAATGAAGTAAAGAAAACAGGGATACCAAAATATAAGGCTGTTTTGCCATTTAAGTGTGAATCACAATAATCTGGGTTGCGCGTCAAAAACACCCTGTATTTAAAGTAGGCCTACTATTAACCGGTTGCTGCCTCCAGTCCATTTTTTGTGTTATGTCCTATATGTGTATTTATTTGAATGTAATTGACGAGTAAATTACTGGATAAAACCACAGACTATATAACTAATGGTCTATTGTCTGTGATAAAACATTCTTGGACGAAATTACTTGACAATGCCTAAATAGGCGAAACCTGTTGGGATACCTTATATTAGTTTGTCTAATCAGTTCATGGACTAGATAATATATTTTTTAAATCACCGTGCTGAATGCCATACTGTTTTAGATTTGCTGTATGCCTACTTTTTACAAGACTTGTTTCGGCACAATATTTATGGTTTCGTTTTCATGTGGCTGTAATTTACACGGTATAATTTGTTGTGACATCACCACAATATTATTCTATTTTTCCTTCACTGTACTTCATAGCTTATGACACAAAACTTTTAAAAATATCGCCACAATTTCGTATAGATTTCCATTGGATGACAAACCACATCAATTGTCAGGATAGTACCACGATATCGTTTTGTAGTAATTCTGCTGCTTCGCCACAATATCACACTGTGTCCCCTTTGCTGTATCACTTTACTGGGATGTAGGCCTAACCACAATATTTTTTATCTTTGTTGTACCACACGACATATCAATATATAAACGTTTCACAAGTCCCAAATTATATAAAATTAGCACCAAACCATTGAAGTGTGGGGATTCCGACAGTTTCCCAATATAAGTGTGTATAGTTCCTAATTTGGTCATACGCATCATAATGACAAGAGAGCAATTGGACTGATCATAAATTAAACTAATCACACAACAAGTTAATCTATGAATGATTGAATACTGTGCAAACAGGATGAGCGGAGCTGGTGAAAAGCCAGGAGAGCATCTTCAGACCAGGCTTAGTAACTTTGATAGCTCCATTAAAGTTAACCATTGCACACATCAATTGATTAATATCACAATTGTAATGCACGGGAAAATTGATAAGACCTCTAAAGAGTAGGCCTATGTGGTATAAATTCATCATTATAAGGCAATTGTGATTTATGCATTTACTACAACCAAGACTGTTATGACCAGAAAATATATAAAACCATTTAAGAGTAAGCTGTGTAAAGTGCGAATTTACACCAGGATATTGATAAAACGCAAGAGCAAGGTGTAAAATTAGAAATCATTGGAAGGCTGTAATGTTTTTATTATGTCACCGTGATGTACAGGGTGTTTCCAAATTGCCTGGAGATCTTTTATGGACTTGCTCCATACAAACATAAAACGACATATAAGTATGATTATAAAATGCCTAGATTTCTGTTTGTCAGTCTGTTTATGATTTTTAAGAATTATTTGATATCTTGAGCATTTCTGAAGATAGAAATTTCAAAATTAATATAAATGCGTATCTTAGAAGGTAAAAAGAGCTTACAAAGTTTCGTTCCAATATCTCAAGCTCTTTCTATTTTGCGATCATTTAAAATCCTTAATGGCAAATTTCATGAAACCTGTAAATATAAAGGAAATTGTTTTAAGATCAAAAGATAGGGAATTAAATCCAAATCAAATGAGACCTTGTTTGTTAAAATCGGATGACAAACGACCGAGTTGTCAGTTTTCTTCTACAGTCGGTTACGAAATTTAATAGGACTACCATTCTGTTTATTATTTGTTATTTTACAGAGCAGTAAGTAATTTTTTACTAAGTACTTTTTAGTAATTTTTAACTGAGTAATTTTTTACTTAGTAGTGTAACTGTTTTTTTTTTCGATTATTCTCTTAACTCAATCACGCTTGTATTAAGATAAAAAGGTTAGGTCATTGTCTTAAGTAGAGTCTAGTGGTTATATTGATACAGCAGGGGTGGCATCAGAGTAGACGAATGTTTGTTTTCGTCGGTTTGTAGCTTTGACAGTCTAATGTAGAGCCCTTGTTTATTTTGTTTGACTACAGAATTGCTCGCAGTGAGTCCCCGACTACAGTAGTTAATGGTAAATTACACTTTTTCAAATCATAAGCTGTTTCAAAGTGTTATTATTAATCTAACATAATGATTACATTTTCCTCCCCCCAATTTCGTTTCTTTATGGCTTTTATAAAGCCATAATTATGCATTTATAAAGAGTATCTTGATCATTTAATTATGTTTTAATGTTCAAATTACGAATTGACGATACCAAGGAACGATTTGAAGTAGAATAAAACCTAATTATTGCATGTACAATATGCCTGATTACATATATAAAAAGTAGGTTCCATTTAGGTAACCTGTGTTGCATGTTTTGAGAAATGATTAATAAAAAAATAGTTTTGGGATATATTTTCTTGCTAGATAAAAAAAATATTATCTCGGATAAAGATGCGCAGATAAATCGTAAAAGTTGTGTATTTATTGTACACATAGGTATACACCTACGATGGGGAAAGGGTACAAGGGACAAGCCATAGGTTAGTTAATAGTTTTCAATTTACGATGGCGGTAATACCAGGGTAGGGAGGCCACTGGTATTTTTAAGTTTGGATTCGACAGCCAATAAAACCAATAGTTCAAAATGCTATTTGGGTATTACAATTTTTAACTCTAGGTCTTGCCAACGATATGAAATTCTGTATCGTAGTAAAATATACCGATTTCCTACAACTGCAAACTCCAAACTATTGACCCTTTAATGATTGTAGATAAATCATGACATGTAAACTGTAATTCCAATCGCAAAACTTTCATCAGACTATATATTGAGCGGGGGTTTTCTTTTTAATGTAATAAAAATAATATCTAGAGAAATCATCAAAGTTATCTATTTTGAAAAAATCATTCAGTTTTCTCTGCACTTTTTAAGCACTGCAAAAACGTATGCAAAAAATCCTTGCAGCGTAAAAATTTCTCGACAATGTTTTATGTATATAAAATAAAGCTCAGAATATCTAGTTTCTGAAGGATTATTTGATTTGTTCCATCGTAACAGATCGAAACCCCTGTTTGAGTTTGACTGGGTCAAATTCTGCTCAAAGTGCCTCATTCCACATCTGAGTTTTAATGTAAACCAACGCGTTTAAATCATTTTTTCAAAGCAGGATGTTCCAGAAACTTAGAATTGTTAGTTGAATATCTGAATTATCACTTTGACAGTCAAACGTATGTGTTAAGTAAGGTATCTGTCTTAACAACCAATAAAATAGCAGTTTTTTATTTAATAGTTAGTTGTTGTATTTATTTGATCGGGTATTGGGTGCAAACTAAAAAGCGCCAGTGGCCTCCCGACGTGGTATTCCCGTTTTAAGTTGTAAACTGTAGAAACTACCCGTGGCCTGCCCTTGCACCCTTTCCCCATCGTAGATGTATATGTGCGCAATGTTCCGGCCAGTAAAATCCTTGTCAGGTAGCAGTTAATACCTCGTGTTCGCAACTTTCCAGACACCGTTTTGGTACATGTTAGCCCAAAAACCATGACTTTGTAGGTGGATGGTTAAACATTCACAATCTAGAAGGTTTTTTGAAACATAAACAGTTTTTAAACACCCTGTATCCTAGACGTAGCGAAGTTCACTACCCTCAGTCCGGATGTGCTGAGGGGTTTCGCACGGGCGCGGCGACTAGAGGCTCCTAACCTCTCAGACGGAGACGTTAGTAGGCGCCCGGAAACACCCTCTTGCAGCTCTACTCTTGTCTCTGTAGTGTGTTTTTTACATGTCCTCGCCATTCATAAGTACTCCATTCACAGACTGTCGACTGACTCCTTATCTGTGACTAGTCTAAACTTCCTCTGTAACTGCTAATGGATTGAGCTATTGATTTTTTCACAAGGGTCAATTTTGTGTTGGGTTCCGAATATCTTTTTAGATTTTTTCGTTTGGGTTAATCTTAAGTCGGTCTAATTATAAAAAGCATGATTTAGAATGGCTTGGCAGATATAATATCAATAGATGTCGGGAATACACTTTTACGTGATTTATTTGTCGTTGAAATTGAATTGAAGAAATAGTTTGGCATATCGGGGTTGGAAACGGTGATCATGTGTATTCAGTAGTTGCTAATTTAGTTAGGTGTCTCTAAAATTTGAGTTCTTCTCCCATTAGGTCACTTTTATGAAATACCGGGTGTCCATAAAATATTCATCAGGTTTTGATTACATATAAATCACTTAATATTTGTTCCACGAAACTGTGACTTACAGTTGGTTAAAGATAGTTTAAGTTTTATAATCACATGTTAGTTGTTCATTGTATGCCTTTTGGTTTACTTTCAGTAGTTGATTTTAAAATAATTGAAGAACAAACCTTCAGTGTCTTAAGATATGGTAATAGTTTGTCTGATAATTGTCCAGCCTTTAGTTTTTAAGACAGTTCCTCAGACCTTACGGTATATGCGATTTATTTCTCTGGGGCTATGTGAGAGACATTAATTGATTAAAATGTACAATATATATCGAGTTCTTAATATTAGTTTCCACATAGTTTAATGGTAGACAGTTTCAAAATTACTGTCCTTTCAGTTTTATGTAGACCCGCAGTTTTGTACTAATTTTCTTCAAGTATAATTTTACTACATACTTACATACTAGTAGTTTTACTTACAAACTTTAATATCATACATTACAAATCGAGTTTATCATCTTAAAAGGTTAAAATGATAACTGATTTCAAAATTAAATTACTGTAGAAACGGCAAAACTGCAATGGTCGATCGGTGGCCTAAGCGATCCCGAACATTTAGCGATTGTCTTATAAAAGCATGGCGTTCAATAACTTCTTAATAAATTACAACAAAAATGGCCACATCCAAAGATTACATTTTAGTATGCAAAACTAATACTGATACATTCGTCAAACTTCACAATTAAAAATTAATCAGGAAGTAAACTTCATATATGCTAGGTCATTTTGTATATAAAGGTACTATACAAACTCAATTTATCCGTTGTAAGAGAGTGGGGAATTTCGAAGAGTTTTATACATGATATATTTATTTATTTTGATCCAACTATGAGGTCTGCACGCATATTTGCATACAGCTCTAAAACAGCCAAAATATTTTTTTATTACAGTTATTTACAGATTATAGGGACAGGAACAGCAGTAACGCAGTAACCAGAGCCAAAATGTAGATTTTATATTTTACGTAAAGATTAAAATAATGTTTTATGCATATTTGCATGGCTTTCTATGTAGCACTTGGAGCAAAGTGGTAATTAAAAACCACGTTTGAATACACGTTAAAATTAGGGGGTTTCGTTTACCTCATGGAATTAAATTGTGCTTTATATTTCACAAACCTATATTGCCTATAAACTTGGGGGTTGAAACAACTTGAACTGAGTACAGAAAAGAGGCGTTGAAGGTAAATCCGGTTTCATATTGAAAACATGAATATACATAAGAAAAACATAGCTTAAGTCTACATATGACTAAACAATTTGGCATACCCGGTTTTTAACTTCCTCGAAATTTCGGGAGGGGTTGAAGTACTCTAAGCCTCCTACTTGGTGGTTTGTTGAAAGTATTTTAAAGTACATTGTTGTCTCAGTGTTTGTTTAACACGATCTTGTTTCCCGAGTTCACCCCTCTTCACTGCTTACATCCTCGTTATGTTGGCAGAGCCGCTGACCCCGACAGGTACGGGCGAGCAGAACATCAGGAGGTACAGGACGGCGTTCACCAGAGAACAGCTCGCCAGGCTAGAAGTGGAATTCACCAAAGAGAACTACGTCAGTAGGCCTAGGAGGTGTGAGCTGGCTGTCCAGCTCAGTCTTCCAGAGTCTACAATCAAGGTAACTAAAGTCAATCTGTCTTGGGCTTTAGGTAGTTCTAAACTGAATCCAGAAGAAACAGCTGTTCGTAGGCAGAAATCAAATAAGCTTCACAAAGCATTCCGCAACTTTCTACATTCTCCACGCATATTTAGTTTAAAGTACTCGGCATCGTGTTTCTATTAACGTAGGTATTACCTTTTTTGTTGGCTTTGTTTTTGAGTAGTAGTTTGTACATCATCCTATGCACATTTCACCAGCAAGTTTGCCCAATTGTTGCCAGTGATTCTTGATCGTCTTGTATGTTGGCTCACTAACAGTTTATACTGTATAAGAGTATTAACATACGTCATCATTACATGTTTATCACGGCCGGGTTACTCTTGGTAATACACAGATTACTACACGAGAACAAAGGCAAACATTTTAATAACTACTAAAATATAATCCGTTTCTTGAACCTGAGATGGCTAAAAAAATTGAATTTCCGTCTCAAATTAATGGTAGTGATGTTAATGACTCTTATTTATATAAAATACACTTAAAGCAGCGACAATATTAATTTTATTAAAGTAATGGCGCATGGATGTTGATGACTGAGAGGTAAATGGTGATTAATAATACCTACAGTCCACGGATATTAGAGTAGAAACGGCATGGATCATAAAAATACAAAAATCATCAAATCATGTCACCCGAATGTCTTACTAATAGCATTAACAGCTCGTTTATACTTTTTGACAGTTCCATTAAAATACTAACAAAAGCATGCTTACTTTTGAGTCAGCGACGCCATTGGTTTATGTTTATGATCCATACAGTTTCTGCACTAATATTCCTTGTACAGTCTAACAAGTAGTCTAGTTTATTGCCTAAGAATTGTAACAAGTGTGGTCAAATTTACAAAAACGTTTTCTAAGCCCGCCGAATCATCAAATACCTAGCTACTGCAATAGATAGATACATAATAAATAAACTGATTTTTACGACGCTGTAAATAGTTTAACATTGCTAGAGTTTCGTTTCTAGAGCTATAATAGGAACTTAGGAGTCAAAGTTATGGTATGCTTAATGTTTAATGCGTAACAGTATGGTTTGATTTAGCAATCCCCCATACTTGTGACTTTGGCTTTTAAAGTTCAATTCATCTTTAGATCGGCGTTTCTGTACATTTAAGAGGTTTTGGTTTGTTGAACGTTGGCCAGTTTCCGTTTCTAATAGAACTACAACAGGAACTGAACTGAACACCTTGTTATGTTGTGAATTTTGCAAGAATGGTACTGTTGTAAAGTTTGAGTCGATGACAATCTATTTGTATACGAGTATATCTGCAAGCTGGGTTGACGGCGCGGCGGCCGGCGCGGCGGCTCAGCGCATGCGTGCGGTTTATAGCAGGTAAGCTGACGATTTTACTGTTTACTATGCCGGTCTGTGGCGGCGAATCACACGAGCTATTATCACCCGCTACCGGACGATGATGCAGCTCTATTAGCATGTGCCTCAGTGACCTCAAGTCAGACAGGCAGACATCTCTGTTCAACGCCAATCCCTCCTGCACTTCTCTCGGCATAGCATATGATCGTTGTTTATCAATTGGTTTATGTTTGGGAAACCTTTCGAAAATACTCCTTGCGGATTAAATGTCCCTACGTTTTGGGTCTTGAGAATAAACTACATTTTAAAGGTGAGAGGTCGGTGGTGCAGTTGGTAGCGCGACGCGGTGGTAAATGTCATCAGTACTCCTGTCTTTTCTTGTTTTTCTACGCAGAGGCATTTTACAATAGGTCGACGTGAGAATGCAGTTTTTGTGGGTGTGCCGGGGATTGAACCCATCATCCGAGTACTCATCACTCTTGTACTGTACCAGCTTACCTCTTTCTTTGCTGGATACGATCCACTCACACACCCAAGGCATATGTGGATGGGCGAATGCCAGGTCAAAGGGACCATCTTTGTTGGATTTTATACAGCTCAATTTGTAAAAAAAAACCACATCCAATATATATAAATATATACATCCATTAATGCATTGATAAAAGTAAAAAAAAAAAAACTGTTCAATAAATGAACGGGAACCTCAATAAATAATAATGTTCTGTTAGACTTAGCCTGATAAAATGTGTGAAAACCCTTGCGTCCTGTGCCTTAAGTACGCAAAAAATAAAACCTGGGAGTACGCAGTACCTGGAACAAGAAAAATAATAACTTTAAGACAGACATGTTTGCATTTACAACAGATGACAATTGTAACATTTTTGTTTTTAAAGAACTTCGATAATGCCCAAAATATGGTTCAAGGAGTTTTGTCATTGTTTGCCCACTGAAAATATTACTACGTGCACCCTCCATAAACGCATGACGTTCATCCTAATGTGGACTGTCGGTTTTAGATACATTTTTACAAGTTATTTTTAGTTACTTAATAAAATAGGGTAAAATATACTTCTTGATCCTTGATCTAAGTCTTCACTTGACTCTAGAGTTTGTTCACATTTTCTAATAGCAGTTATAGTCTACTATTATTCGGGAAGTCGGTAACAGTTTTACTTTAACTATGTATAAATAATAGTATTTTAAAATAGTCTACTATTATTCGGGAAGTTTGTAACAGTTTTACTTTAATTTTAAATAATAGCATTTTAAAAGGTAATCTTACGTTTAGATTTTAGTGTTTATATTTTTTTCCTATCTTCATTTTTTAGCTTAAGTTTTTTTTTTTATTGACCCAAAAATGCTATATGTTTACAATAGAAACCACAATAAAATGAATCACCGAAGATAGAAAATTTCAAATTAATAATGATTTACAAACTTTTAGTGTTATCTGATCATATGCAATTAGTTGGTAAAATGACCAATTTTAATTTTCACTGATTCGTAACGTACGTTTGTTAAACCATGACTTACTGTACACAGAATAACCTTCCCATGAGATATAAAAATTGGAAGCCAAGAAAATAGATGAAGTTCAGGACCATCTCACCAGAGTTTACAAGTGTATTGGGTTGAATATTAATTAAAACCAATGCAGTATCACAGCAAACAGCTGATTGATTTATCACTTAACACAGAATATTGTCATTAGTTGGTGACCATCTCAACAGATTGCACCAGGTTTTTGTCATCAAATTTTTACATTACATGTGAAGTCTATTCTGTGTATATTCAATGGTTAAACTGTAATTTCGGTACGAAAACATCACACTTTTCCTGACCTCTTTTGGCACTTTGAGGGACCTGGATACAGAGATATTTCTGTGAATATGATGAAAATAATCTATATTATTTAAATATTTTTATTTGGATCATAAAGTCGGGTTGTGAGTGGCGATAGTGTTGACTGCTCTGTAGGAAGTGAGTGCTGCTCTAATAGCCAATTAGCGTATATCAAAGACACATTACACTCAGCCGCAGTGTCTGGATCTTGTCATTGGAAATGAACATCCATCCGACTGCATTACCATCTTCTCCCACTCTCCCTCCCCCCTCTCTCTGTCTCTCCCTAGCTTATTTGCTGGTTTCTACTTCATCCCTATTAATTAGAAGGACGTCCTGAAAAAATCAACAATGTAGTGAGCATATTCAGAAAAATTGCATAAGTATCGCTTAACACATTTGAGATACTATACTGTATATTAAAATACCCCATTGCAGCAAACCAGTAGATAAAGAGAATTTCTATTTACCTGGTTGGATTTTCATTAAAATATTCACTTATAATTATCAGATTTTTTTTACTATTTCAATAGCATAATGTGTTAGGTTTGTGCTACAGAAAATAACAGAAAGTGTATTATTTTTAAATGTTAACAACTGAAGATGTACGGGCCAGATTTTAACCCCCGGAATTTTACCCCCTGGCCGATTTTAGAAATTGAGTGATTGATTTTCCTATTTCTGTTTTTAATTAATTGTAAACATTTCATTATTTTACTAGCCTATCTTTATTTATTTATTTTGTAATCTCAACTAAGTAAACAGAATTAGCGGTTTTATTTTGATCATATTAACCAACAGTTGGCTTCAAAATCAAATCCTGATACTCGAATCTCAAAATTAAAATTAAAAACCTGTTCGATTAGTTAATGTTACGAATAAATTAAGATAGGCTACTTAATAATAAAATGTTTACTATTAAATTCAAACTGAATGAAGATAATTATTCATTCTCACTAATTTATATATCTGGCCAGGGGATAAAATTCCGGGGGTAAAAATCCGGACCGTACATTCTTGGTTTTTATAATTTTATGTGATCTGATTAAATTCACAACCGTTAAAATATTTGTTTAATTCCGCGTTTAATCCATCGAGCTGATGTCGCGAAACTCAAAAGTTCGCGGCCGGAATTTTACCCCCTGGTTCACAACATCACGTTTGCCCAGGGGGGTAAAAATCCGCTACCCCGTTACAACGTGGAGCATTTGCGATGTAGCCTCGAAACACCGGTTATAAGTGTTTTCTTACCCTTGGGTCTCTAAGAATAAGTTTAACACCAGAAATATTTTATTAAAAGCCTGAAACTTTCTACTTACTCCTATGGCTACGTATATCTTTGTAGATATTTGTCCAAACCTTAAACACCCCTCCGCCTATCTATTTTCTCAATATCAGCATTAACTTGGCTCTACCTTTTTCACTGTGGCCTTCCTCTGGTTTCGTCATTGAGAAGTTATTGTCTTTTTTTACTATCCCAGCCCATCTCAAACTTTTTAGATATAATTTTAAAATCCTGTGACATTTGACTGATGTCTGGTCTCTCTTCCTTCTAGGTGTGGTTCCAGAACCGTCGTATGAAGGACAAACGACAACGGATGGCGATGGCATGGCCCTATGCGGTCTATACAGACCCAGCGTTCGCCGCTAGTATCCTGCAGGCCGCAGCGGCTAGTGCCAGCGGTCTGGCCGCAGTCGCAGCCAACTACCCTTACCCGCCAGCTTACTACCCTCCTAGGTACGCGCCCTACCCGCGGCCCGCCTTCCCTATGCCGGACATGGAGGCGCCGCTGCTGCCGCCCCCGCAGTTCTGTCATCTCAGCCCTTCTCACTCCGACACCAGCGTCAGTCCGACCCCCGACAACTGCGACGGCTCCTCTAGTTGCCGCTGTGGTATTATCAACTGTGTGACTGGGAGATATCCTACAGCTCCAGCCCCTGTACCGACGTCGCTACCCCCACCCTCCGTCCCATCAGACACGCTCAAACTATCGGAACAACCCAGGAAACTGTTCCAACCATACAAAAACGATCTCAGTGAAAAGGCTTGAACCCGTTTGTTACAATTGTAGTGTTAATCTCTTTAAAACGTCGAATCCCTGTTCTAATGTTTATTGCAGTTGCTGGTACGAAATTTTACACTATTAAAAATATATATTTTTATTCTATTAATGCTTTTAAAATTATTTTATTCGTACTCTACCTTGTCAGTAAAAATTCTTGAATTTGGTTCTCTTGATATCTTTAAGATATTTTATAAACGATCAATAACTGTTGAAATGAATTGCAGTAGCTAGTATAAAATTTTATATTATCTGAGTTAAGAATTTGTTATTGCGTATGAACACATTGTAATAAACCTATTTCATTCATACTCAAACTATGTGATATTCACTGAGATCGTAATTTGCTAAAGCAATTATTATAATGTAATGGATTTGTCAATCGAGTAATCATATGTTTCTATTGCTAATTTAATCCATTCATTTATTCTTTGCAAAGTCCATGAGTAACTGGCTGGAATTAGAATTTTTGTTGCCTTTTTTAGTAGCCTTTATTCTAGAAGCTTTTTAGGTGGTTCATCTAAAAATCACACCTAAAAACCTACAAGAACTTAGGCTACTAAAAAAGGTGACAAAAACTCCATTTTATAGTTCTTGCCACTGAGAAAATACAGAAAATCACAAATTGGCTGGAATTGTAATTCACCGTTGTAAGGCACATTACTTAACTTTACATGATCTCCGGTTTTAATTTAATGAGTTAATGGTATTTAAAATGTTCATATTTGAATAACATGATGTTTAATTTTTTTAATTTTTTGAATATTTGATTTCCCTTCGACTTAAGAGTGTAAAAAGTACTGAAGTTTTATAAACCATGGTGATTTGTACTTATTACATTCTTTGTTTTCTTGTGGTAAGCTAATTTAAGAGTACAGTAGTTTTACATTAGATATATATAGGCTATATATATTTCCAGGACGAATTGAATATTTATTTATTTCCTCAAAACTTAAAACTGTTAACAACCTTGATTTTAAAAATCAGGCATTTGCTCACATTTAGATAAAATGTGGAAAACTATATAATGTTAATACAGAAGTTATTCACTATTATGACGAACAGCTGATGATGACTCCTGGAGTTATTTCCCATTGTTGTTTATTGTATATAGTTAATGTGGATGCTTTGGCTTCAAAATATTTGTACAATTTCCTTCCAAAATTGAATCACTAAATACTTTTACCCAATGATTGTCTTTACAAAAACAACTTATTGTTCGACCTGTTTTTACTGCACAATATTTGTTAAACATACTGGATTCTCTTGAGAATTTTATTTTTGTTATCTTTGTTTTGATATGGCTTACAATTGATATATTGATAAATCTAGGACATGCCTGACTTGAATGTTTAAATCAAAAGCTGCTTTGTAAGTGTGATATTTCGTTGACCCCCTGAATTACCAAGACGTGTGTAGATAGTGTACAATTCTATGTGTGATTTTGATATGACTTGTAGTGTTGCTGATAATAAATACCCTTACAAGTTATGTAAAATATGTATAATCAAAGATAAGTGCAATACAGTATTGGGTTCTAAAAACTCTTTAGTCACCTAATGAAATTGTCAGACTAGCTTTAGTATTGTTACGTGTAAATATCATGTGTTTCCTTGTATTTTTTAAGCAAATATAGAATTTAAACATTTTAGATAATGTGTGTCATTAAATTCTCCCATTGTGTTGATTCAAACTGATTAATTTAAGTTAGTTGGTTCTGGATTGTACACAAAACATATAATTTTAGTGGTTAAAACTATTGAATTTTATAGCTTGACAAAACTTATAATTAATCAGTTTTAAATCATAAGGCACAGTTTTTTTTGCAAGCTGAAAACTTACTTCCTTTATTTATACTTGGTTTTTGATATCTTTGTAGAAAGTTAAAAATTAATTAATCTTTCAAATTAATCTTTCCAACCTATTTTCATAGTTTCACTCATTTTAACACTTTTATTATAAATGGTTGTTGATTAAATCACATAGCGATTATTTTAAGATCAATTAGTGTTGCTTGGTGTGTTTTTATAGTTTCATACAATTAACAAAACCCACTATAATATGCATCTTAAAAAAATACTTTTAATAATTTTTAATACCGCTGAGTTGTAGTTTTCTTTTACTGGCAATGGAGAAACTCATAGAAATATAGGAATGGAATGTATAAGTCAGTAAGCTGAAGATGGCAAAATGTCAAAAGTTATATCATTGGAGGCAGAGTTATACTCAGATAATTTCAAGAGTTTCCGAAAGCATTTACATTTTCAGAGAAATAAGTGTTATATATTATTCTTTCAATAGGAACAGATAATTGTAAACAGTATGGCACTTTAAGTGATTAATGATTTAGAAATTACTTGAAAGTTGTCAATATTATTTTGGCAATGTTATAATAGATGCATATTTAACAAATAAAATATAACGAATTAAAGTGCTGGTATTAAAATATTCATAAAAACCGTTTATGTGCGAAGAGGCCACCAACCTCTTTAAAAAAAAAAAAAAAAAAAAAAAAAAAAAAAAAAAAAAAAAAAAATTTGAAGACATTCCTCATTTTGTTATGCCATTTTATACAACTTTGGCTACCTAAAATTGGAATTATGTCTCAATTGTTTGACGCGTAATGATTTTAAGGTAAAGGTAATATTATGTATATTGGTAATTCCATTGTTGAGAATTATACTACTCGTACTTGTACAAAACTGTAGTACCTGAGCGGAGGTGTTTAATTTGTTTGGAAGGTCGTAGGAGCAAATGAATTCGAAACAACAATGATTCGAAACAAATGAATTCTGATTATAAATATTTTCTTGTAAATATACATATTTAGTAGGCTACCTATAAACATAAAATTCTAAATAGTTACAGTACCTATTAAATACTGCTCTTAAACATGGTTACTCTAAGATATGGGTCTCGGCTAGGAAATATAGTTTCAAAGCCTAAATTTGAGGGTCTGCGAGGCAACAAATGTTTTTAGCTAAAGAGGCTATGTGTTTTGGTTACAATAGTGTCGAAGGATAAGATTTTATACTGACCCACATTAAGAATAAATCTAAATATAAAAAAACATAAAATTACTAGATTGGAACGCTTTAACTTATTTAAAAAATATAATTTATTGGGTTTTCCAGTAAATTATCTTCATGTTCAGTTTTACTTAATAAAGTTAGAGAGTAAATTTATATTTGTCTTCATTTTTTATTTGACTAACAAACATTTTCATACTGACGAGCTATCTACATATATTTAATACCCCCGCCGCAGCAAACCTGCAGACATAGCGAATTTCCATTTTCCTGATTGGATTTACACTAAAATGTCTCTTAAAAAATATCAGATTTATTCCCCATTTAAATAGAATTAGCTTGACGAGAACCTAGGTTTGCTGAAACAGGGAGGGTAAAAAAGTGTTTTTTGTTGTAAAATTTTAATACTGTAGTTTAGTAAGAAATGAATGTATTTTCCAAATTGGATCAAAATATGTTCGATAAGCAATCTACAACAGTTGACGTATTCTCCATAAGAATAATATGAACACATTGACGGTAAGTTCATAGTATAGTATTGGCAGTTATTTGTAATTAATCTATTAATCTTGTATTATAACAACGCCTGCTTGTATATTTTACGTGGGTCGTACAAAAAGCAAAGAACTTTTTAGCATGGTTAAATAAAAACAAAACATATCCAAAGACAAACTTCATTTACAAAGCCACTATACTTTATCCTTATTTAGCCTACATATCTTTAATTTTGATGAGTACTTAGGTAAGAAGATATGGGGTTTTTATTGAAATATTCATAGCTTAGTATGAAGTAAACAAAATTTCATAAAAATATGTCCATAGACAAGCAAGCTACAACAGTTAATTTATTCTCCATAAGAATAACATGGGAATTTTAAATTGTCAATTTTTTGGAATTTTCTCCGTAACCATTAGGCACATAATAACGCTTCAATATACTAAATTATTTGTTTTTTAAGCTCTACAAAATGGTTTGGAAAGAAATTATGAATTTTTGTTTTTCAGGTTCATAAATGGGAAAACCTTATTTTTACCCCATAAAACCTACCATAAACGCCCATAAAACCTACCATAAACGGGGGTTCCCATAGTCCGATCATGCTGGTTCGCGGACTCGTTCGAATAAATGTAGGTTTACTCATTTATACTAAATTTCATCGAAATTGGATCATTTTTGCTTGAGTTGTCGTGCTAACGGACACACACACATTTGAACGGATTGTGTAAAATTTGTTGGATTGTGAGTAAATCGGTCCCGGGTCCAGGTATTACCATGAGTACTACGTTAATAGCTTATTCCCTATATGGGAAATTCGGTAAGATGTCAAGAATAAAACTTTACAACAAATTTAGTTAAATTTAACTTTTATTTTAGTTATATTTATCGTCTGTTGGCAACGCGTTAGTCACTGAGATCGCGGAATGTCGCAACACTGGAATCGCTGTCGAAAATTGTATCGTCGTTTCCTCACAGCTCTTAAGTTCAGTATTAGTGTATAATGTTTTGCTGTAAATACTCTAAGTATTGAGCAATTATATTAATTCCATTTCACATAAATACACATTATATTATATTAGTGTATTATAAGTTCAATGCTATTCATCGAAATGGCTATTTCATTTGTACAGAATTCAATAATTTGCTTCTGCACTGTAGATGTTTGGTATATGCATAATGTTACAATTCCTTTGTTTGCATTTTCGTAAAACTATCATGGCCACTTGGCAATCCATGGGACTAATGGTTACAAATATTAAAATTTCATATAAATGTTTAACAAACACGAATTTTCCCAGAACACAGCCTAGCATAAATATTGTTTTTAGCCTAAAACTAAGATATTTCTAACAATTTAGAGGAAATAGTTGGAGCCGTTTTTGAAACCTTTTGGTGCACAAATGTTTCTCATATTTTAAAAAAGGTTAAGAATTTATACACAAATCAGTCTCCGGTTGTAC